TCTTCCAGCCTCTACACATTACCCAATTCCAAAGCCATGTCCACATTTTTAGATATTTATTACATAAGGACCCCCACTTTCTGGTACCAAAATCTGTATTAGTTTTCTGGGGTTACCCTAAAAAAGTCACACAAACTGAGTGGATTAAAAAAACCCAGAAATTTATTATCTCATTGTTCTGAAGTTTAGAAATCTGAAGTCAAGGTATTATCAAGGCCTTGTTCCCTCTGGAGACCGCGGGTAGAATACTTTCTTGCCTCTTCCTAGCATCTGGTGGTGGCTCTAGATCTTTGGTGTTCCTTGACTTGAAGCTGCATTACTCCAAACTCTGTCTCTGTAATCACATGGCATTCTCTCCATCTATGTCTGTCCTCACATTTCTTGTTGTAATTTTACCCAGTCATATTGGATTAGAGTCCCCCTAATGACTTCATCTTAATTTTATTACATCTACAAAAACTCTATTTCCAAATGATGTCATATTCACAGGTCCTGGTGGTTAGGACTTCAACATATTATTTTGGGAGGAGGGCTTAATTAAACCCATAATTCCATTTATAAAATATATACAAAGCTCCTGCAACTCAACAAGAAAACAATTAACTCCAGCAAAAGCTGGCAAAGGACAATAAAATACCTCAGTATCCATCTAACCAAAGAGGTAAAAGAACTTTATAATGAGAACTACAAAACACTGCTCTAAGAAATCAAGGACTACACAAACAAATGGAAGAATATCCCATGTTTATGGATTGGAAGAATCAATATCATCAAGATGTCCATCCTACCCAAGGCAATCTATTGATTCAATGCAATCTCTATAAAATTACCGGCATCATTTTTTGCAAACCTAGAAAAGACAATACAGAAATTCATATGGAAGCAAAAAAGAGCCCAAATAGCTAACACTATCCTCAGTAAAAAGAACAAGGCTGGAGGCATCACATTTCCAGATCTCAAGCTTTACTACAAGGCTATAGTAACCAAGACAGGATAGTACTGGTATGAAAACAGACATATAGACCAATGGAACAGAACAAAGGATCTGGAAATAAAACCAAGGAACTTCAACCAACTAATCTTTGACAAAGCTGACAAAAATAAACATCAGGGAAAAGAACCAATATTTAGCAAATGGTGCTGGGAATACAGGCTAACCACATGCAGAAGAATGAAACTAGACAACTTCTTATCACCATATACAAAAAATTAACTCCAAATGGATCAAGGGCTTAAATGTGAAACCTCAAATTATAATAATCTTCGAAAAAAATGTAGGAAACGCTCTCCTGGACATCAAAGTACACAATGAATTCATGGCCAAGTCCTCAAAAGCAAATGCAACAAAAGCTGAGATTGACAGATGAGACCTTATCAAGCTAAAGAGTTCTTGCACAGCAAAAAAACAAAAAAACAAAAAACAAAACATCAAGAGAGTAAAGAGAACCCACAGAATGGAAAAAAAATATTTGCAAGATATACATCCAACAATGGCCTCATAACAAGGATCTACAAGGAACTCAAAACAAATAGATGGAAAAAAAATAATTCTTTTTTAATTTTATTAAAAAGTGGGCAAAGGACATGAACAGACACTTCTCAAAGAAAGACATCCAAGCAGTCAACACACATAAGAAAAAATGCTCAGCTTCACAAATAAAAACTACGACGAGATACCACTTCACACTGGTTAGAGTGGCTATCATTAAAAAAAATGAAAAAACAACAGGCGTTGGCAAGGCAGTACAGTAAAGGGAACACTTCTACATTATTGGTGGGAATGTAAACTAGTTCAATCTTTGTGAAAAAGCAGTGCGGCGTTTTCTCAAAGAACTAAAAATTGAGCTACTATATGATCTGTAATCCCACCTCTGAGAATATACCCAGAGGAACATAAATAGCTCTACCAAAAAGACATCTGCATACTTATGTTCATCGCAGCACTATTCACAATAGCAAAAACAAGGAACCAACCCAAATGCCCAACAAAAGTGAACTGGCTACAGAAAATATGGTACATATACATGATAGAATACTATGCAGTCATAAAGAACAACAAAATTATAAGTTTTGCAGCAACATGGATGTAACTGGAGACCATTGTTCTAAGTGAATCATAAAATTGGATACCATATGTTCACAGAATCTTAAAATTGGATACCACATGTTCTCACTCATAAGTGGGTCCTAAACACTGGGCATATGAGCACAAAGACAGGAACAACTGACATTGGGCACTACTAATTGGGGGAGGGAATGATCAGGGACAAGGGGCCCACAGCCATCCACTGGTTACCATGTGTCTACTATGGGGGGGGGGAGGGCTTATTAGAAGCCCAAATCTCACCTGCACACAATTTACTTATGTATTGAATCCTAACATGTATCCCACAACTCTAAAATAAAAATAAATTGGCAAAGAATTTGAATGAACATTTCTTAAAGAAGATATACAAATGACCAATAAGCACACAAAAAGACTACTCAATATCATTAGTCATTCAGAAAATGGAAATCAAAACTGTATTGAGATACTACCTCACACCTGCTAAGATAGCAATAATAAAACAAGATAATAAGTGCTGGTGATAATGTGGAGCAACTGTAACCCTTACACACTGCTGATGGGAATGTAAAATGATACATCTGCATTGGAAAACAGTCTGGTAGCTCCTCAAAAGGTTAAATGTAGAGTTAACATATGACCCAGTAATTCCACTCCTAGGTACATTCCCAAGATAAATGAAAAAAAATATGTCCACACAAATTCTTGTAATTGAATATTCATGACAATATTATTCACAATCGCCACAAAATAGAAACTCTCAAATGTACAATTGATAAACAAAATGTGATATATATTCGCTCAGTAAAATATTATTCAGCCATAGAAAGGATACAGTATTGATTCATGCTACAATATGGATAATCCTTGAAAACATTATGCTAAGTGAAGAAGCTAGACACAAAAGATCACATAATGTATGATTCCATTTATAGAAAATGCACAGAACAGGCAAATTCAGAGACAGAAAGTAGCTTAGAGGTTTCCAGGGTCTGGAGGGAGAGGAAAATAGGGAATAAATACTAATGGGTATAGAGCTTCTTTTGGGGAGGTATAAAAATGTTCTGGAATTTGATAGTGGTGATAGTTTTACAACCTTGTGAATATACTGAAAAACACTGAATTGTACACCTTCAAGGTATATGTCAGTTTTATGGTATATGTTATATTTCAATTTTGAAAAAAACTAAACTGAGTATGTATAAGATCTATGCATTGAAAGATAGAAAGCATTGCTGAGATAAATTAAAGAAGACTCAAATAAATGGAAGTTTATATCATGTTCATGAATTAGGCGACTCAATATTGTTAAAATGTAAAATCTCCCTATATTGACCTGAAGATTCTATAACATCCCAATCAATATCCTAGCAAGCACGCATATCAAAATCGACAAACTAATTCTAAAATGTATATGGAAATAAATGCAAAGGACCTAAAATAGCGAAAACAATGGGCTTGGTGGCTCAGCCTGTAATCCTGCGCCTTTGGGAGGCTGAGGTGAGTGGATTGCCTGAGTCCACGCGTTCGAGACCTGCCTGGGCAGGCGAGACCCCATCTGTACAATAAATCAAAAAATTAGCCGGGCGTGGTAGCGCGCGCCTATGACTCTGGCCACTCGGAAGGCTGAGGCGGAAGGATCGCGGAGCCCAGCAGGTCGAGGCTGCGGTGGCCGGGAGCGGCCACTGCACTCCAGTCTGGGAGACAGAGTGAGACTCCAACTCAAAAAAAAAAAAAAAAAGAAAGAAAGAAAAAAATCCTACAAAGTTGGAGGTGCTATACTTTCTGAATTCAAGACTTACAATAAAACTACAGCATAGAATTGACATAAACATATAGACTACCCAGAAGACCCACAACTGATTTTTAATAGAGGTGCCAGCCTAATTCAGTAAAGACAAAACTGTCTTTTTGACAAATGGTTCTGGGATAACTAGATATACATTTGAAAATGAATAAATATTAACCCTACCTCACAGCATATAGGTCATAAACCTAAATGTGGAAGCTAAAACTATAAAACCTTTAGAAGAATAAAAAACACGTTGTAAGCTTAGAGTAGACAAATATTTCTTAGATAGGCTTTTTGTGTCCTATCACAAAATTTTAAAAGAAAACATTAGTGAATTGGCCTCTATCAAATTTTTAAAAGCTCTACTTTTTATAAAATGCTGGTCAGAAAAAAAAACACATGGCATAAACTGGAGAAAATATTTATAATATATGTATCTAACAAAGGACTGGTATTCAAAAAATATAAAGAACTCCTGCAACTCAATATAAAGAATACGTATCCTCAATTTAAAAGAAGCAAAAGATTTGAACAGGTGCTTCACAAAAGAGCATATACAAAAATGGCCAATGAACACATCAAAACATATTCATTGTCATTTGACACCCTCAAAAGGCAAATTAAAGCCACAATGAAACATCACTCCTGTTTACTAGATACACATTGTCACTTGCATTGATCTGTCTTGGGTTTGACTGCTTTGCTCCCCACTTCAGAGGCTAAAGTGTTGAATGTACTAGACACTGTACACATTGGAGCCTTATTCATTTTGTACATGCCTTATTCGTTCTCTATGATATTTTATTATGTTTAGTGTGGCTTCAACTATCGACTTTACTATCAGTAGTTGATTCTAGAAATCAACTCTATTTGAAGATTTAAAACATCAATATGTATTTGTAAGATTCTTTTCAGAGAAACAAACTACGATATTCTTCAAATTAATTGCTTTTTGTGGGGAAGAAGTGAACAGAAACACATCCTCTGTAACCAAATTTCTTCTTCCACTCTAACTGAGAAGTAGAAAAAGACAGACTAATAAGAAGAAAGTAGCAAATGGTTAGCATGAACTGCTGTAGTATACTCTGTAAAAATGCAACTCACTTAAAAATGAAAATCAGAAAGAACAGCACTTTAAAATACCTGTACACCCTGTTCAGAACCTGAAGTTTTTCCAGGGGAGTGGTTTCCAAATTGCTTATTTTCTTGAGAGTCACACATCTCTCCTTTAAGTCTTTCAACCTTAAATATAAAAGTAAGCATCTTGTTCTCAATTTTTGTTTAGATACATTATTGTTTTGTTTTTAAAAATATACAATAATATATGAATACATTTTCTGTGTAAAACTTCAACAACACATAGGCTATAGAGTAAAGAGTTATATTTTCCTTCATATCACAATCCTTTGTCCCTTTCCAGAAATAATATTGCTTGGGATGTAACCTACCTGAACTTTTTCATGCACACACACACACGCATTAAACATGTAATGGTATGAGATATATAAATTTACGAAGACTAAGACAACTTGAACAGACATCATTTGCTTATTCATTCATTCTTTTTTATGATTGCATTCTTATTGTGGTAAAATATGCATAACACAAAATTTATTATTTTAACCATTTTTAAGTGTACACTTAAGTGGGATTAAGCATCATTAAGCACATTATTTAGTACATTAAGTACATTGATGTACAACCATCGCCATGATTCATCTCCAGAACTCTTTTTATCTTACACTGAAATTCTATACCCATTAAAAAATAACTCCTTCATCTCTATAATAAATTTTAAAAATTAGCTAGGCATGGTGGTGTGTGCTATAGCTCCAGCTACTGGGAAGGCTGAGGCAGAAAGATTGTCAGATCCAGAAGGTTGAGGTTGCATTCTCTATGATATTTTATTATGTTTAGTGTGGCTTCAACTATCTACCTTACTACCAGTAATTGATTCTAAAAGAAAACATTAGTGAATTGGCCTCTACCAAATTTTTTAAAGCTCTACTTTTAAAAATCATGCCACTGCACTGCAGCCTGGGTAACAGAGTGAGACTCCAATTGGAAAAAAAAAAAACAACCCAAAAACCCCAAAACAAAAAACCTATTATACAAAGTCCTTTCCTTTCCCGTCTTTCTTTCTTCTTCTTCTTCTTCTTTTTTTTTTTTTTAATCCAGAATCTTGCTCTGTCATCCAGGCAATCACAGCTCCCTGCAGCCTTGAACTTCTGGACTCAAGCAATCCTGGGCTCTCAGGTAACGTTTTTGTTTTTGCTTTTATAAAAACAGGGTCTCCAGGTCTTGCTATGTTGCCCAGGCTGGTCTCAAACTCCTGGCAATTCATTTGCCTCAGACTTTCAAAGTGCTGGGATTACAGGCACGAGTCACCATGCCCCTGGCCATTAAATTCTTACTTTAAAAAAATGCAGCAGGGTGCTGTGGCTCATACCTGTAATCCCAGCACTTTGAAAGGCTGAAGAGGTAAGATCACTTGATACTGGGAGTCTAAGATAAACCTGGGCAACATAGCAGGACTCTGTCTCTATAAAAAAATAAAAATAAAAATGGCCAGGCATGGTAGCTCATACCTGTAATCTCAGTACTTTGGGAGGCTGCGGTGGGAGGACCACTTGAGCCCAGGAGTTGTAGGTTGTGGTAAGCGAGGACCACACCACTGGGCAATAGAGCAAGACTCTGTATTGAAAAGAGAAGAAGAAAAGAGAAGAGAAGAGAAAATAAAAGAAAAGATTCTAGATTTACATGAGAGAAATAAAGTTGCTTTTTAGCATAGGTAACTAAAATGTATAAAATATAAGTACTGACAGAATGCATCTAGGACAAAGCCTGGTATCCACCTAGGGATGTTACAGCCACCAGTGTTGGTCCTCACTGATGACTAGCTTAGGTGATGAATATGTTGCTCAAACTGCTGATAGCTATTGTATACACATTTAAATAAATTCTAAGAATCAACTGAATTAACCTTACCATTTCGCCAAGCACTTTCTTTTCTGAGTCAAGTGATCGAACTCGATTTCTTAAAACCAGAATTTCCTCATCCAGTCTCTGATTATGTTCCTTTGCTTTCTGTAGGTCAGCTGCATCTAAAATAGAGAAGAACACAGTTTACTTAACTGGATCAAAGTTTTGTTTAGGAGGCATTAACCTGAAAAGCTAAGGAACTGCTATTGCCTGCCCTTCTTGTCAGTCCTACCATGTCTGCATGTGTGGGTCTCTGTACAGGAGAGCCACGAGACTCTCAAGGCCAGACTTTTAGAATATTCTACCAACCTAGTGAAACAGAATAGAAAGTTTTGTATTTCTCACATCGGACCAATGAGTTGGACTTTTTTTTTTTGAGTTGGAGTCTCACTTTCTCACTTAGGCTGGAGTGCAGTAGCACACACATGGCCACCCCAGAATTGATCTGCTGGGCTCTGGTGATCCTTACGCCTCAGTCTTCCAAATAGCCAGAACTACAGGTGTGAGTTACCACGCCCAACTAATTTTTTTTTTTAATTGTAGACACAAGGTCTCACCAAGTTGCCCGGGCTGGTCATGAACCCATGGGCTCAGGCAATCCACTCGCCTCAGCCTCCCAAAGTGTTGGAATTACAAACTGAGCCACTGAGCCTGGCCGATTGAGTTGGAATTTTTGACTGTAGAGTTTCTAGCAAAAGAAGTTCTTCCAGGACCTGTATTTTTTCTTTTAAATTGAGACAAGGTCTGGAGTGCAGTGAAGCAATCATTGTTCACTGTGGCCTCAAAAACTCCTGGACTCAAGTAATCCTTTCACCTCAGCCTCCTAAATTGTTGGGATTACAGGTGCATGCCACCACACCCAGCTGGACCTGGTATTTTAAAATCACTGAACCTGCCTTCTAAAAGTTAAATGACCAAAAATAAAATGACCTTCCTAAGCTTCCTTTCAGTCCTATCTCTCTTATACATCTCCTGTTCCATTAATCTATGTTTGTTTTTAGAACAATTCCATGCTATACCTTTATTTTAAGTGTTGAAATTATAGTTAACATATTGGCTGGGTGCTGTGGCTCACATCTGTAATCCTAACACTTTGGGAGGCCGAGGTGGGGGAATTGCTTAAGCCCAGGAGTTCGAGGCCAACCTGGGCAACATAGGGAAAACTTGTCTCAGAAAAAAAAAAAATACACACACATACACACAAAACTAGCTAGGTGCAGTGGCACGTGCTTGTAGTCTTAGCTACTGGGGATGCTGAGGTGGATCACCTGAGCCTAGGAGGTCAAGGCTGCCGTGAGCCATGATTGCCGTGATCATGCCACTGCACTCTAACCTGGGCAACAGATGTCTAGAATGCTGTGACATGCTCATGATCAGATGTTAGAATGCTGTGACATGCTCATGATCTACTGCAGCCTCGAACTCCTGGGCTCAGGCAATCCTTCTGCCTCAGCCTCCCGAGTAGCTGGGACTACAGGTGCATGCCACCATGCCCAGCTTATTTTTTGATTTTTTGTAGAGACGAAATCTCACTATGTGGCCTAAACTGGTCTTGAACTCCTGGGTTCAATCAATCCTCTTGCCTCAGTCTCCCCAAGTGCTGGGATTACAGGCAATTTTTTTTTTTTTTTTTTTTTGAGTCAGAGTCCCATTTCATCGCCCAGGCTATAGTGGCATGCTCACGGCCACTCCAGCATTGACCTGCTGGACTCTGGCAATTCTTCCGCCTCAGCCTTCCAAGTAGCCACATCTACAGGTATGCGCTACCATACCCAACTAATTTTTTGACTTATTGTAGAGAATAGGTCTCACCATGTTTCCCAGACTGGTCTCGAACCCATGGGCTCAGGCAATCCTCTCGCCTTGGCCTCCAAAGTGCTGGGATTACAGGCTTGAGCCACCGTGCCCAGTCCAGGCTTTTTGTTAAACTACAAAATTTTGTTGAAAGTGGATCTTTTCATCCAACCTTTACCTGTCACCTTGTCCCAAAATAATACTGCTACTACTTGGCAACTATTTAAAAATTTTTAATATACTTATACTAATATACAGACAAAGGTTGTGTTAAAAATATTTAACAACCAGTAAAGCATGAACGTTCTCCTATAAGAATGTAGCTCTGGAACACCTTGATGTGCCAAATATTATCCCTTTAGTAGTTGGAAAGACACAAGTATGGAAAAAGCTGGGACAGGTGGGTGCAGGCAGGAACACTTGGAAAACTCAGGGCAGGAACTACTTACAACTTACACAAAATTTTTCCAGTGTCTTCACAATTTTACTGCCATACTAGTGTATACCAGCTCATAACAGTCCTGTGAGTACAAACACACACATACACACACACACAAACCCCCTCTAGACATACAAAAACCCAAATGACACTATAACACACATATTACTCTACAACCCCTGATATCACAGATATCTATTCATGTCAGCACACATAGCTCCATATCATTCTTTTTTTCCTTCTTCTTCTTTCTTTTTATACAGACAAAGTCTCACTATGTTGCCCAGGCTGGTCTTGAACTCCTGGGCTCAAGTGAACCTCCTGCCTCAGCCTTCCAAAGTGCTGGGATTATAGGTTTGCACTACCATACTCAGCCTCCATGTTATTTTTAATAACGTAAGGTATGTACTGTACAGTCACTTATTTAAGCAATCCATTGTTAGTAAGCACATACTATCTAATTTTACTACCTAACAAGCTATTTATTACTCTCTGTACTTTTATAAATTCTTCCATGTTCATTAGGGATAGTGTAATGTCTTTGTCTGGTTTTGGTCTTAGGATAATGCTTGTCAGTTAAAAAGCTGGGAAGTAGTCCCTCTTCTTCAAGTTTCTGGAAGAGTTTATGTAAACTCAGTATTATTTATTCCTTAAACATTTGTTAGAATTCACTAATGAAGCCATCTGAGCCTGGAGTTTTCTTCATGGCAAGATTTTTAGCTACAAATTCATTTTCTTTAGCAGATTTAGGGTTCTTTCTTCTTGAGATAGATTTGGTAGTTTGTGTCTTGTCAGGAATATGTATATGTCATCCAGGTCATCAGATTTACTGGCATAAAGTTATTCATATTATTCCTTTACTATCTTTTTAATTGGTAAAAATGTTCCCTTTGTCTTATTTTGGTAATTTGTGTCTTCTCTTTTTTCCATGATCAATCTAGTTAGAAGTTTATTAATGTTATTGTTCCTTCTGAAGAACCAGCTCTTGGTTCCAATGATAAACTCTATTGTAGTTCTGTTTTTAGTTTTATTGACTTTAATCCTTATTTTTATATCTCCTTCCTTCTTCATGCCTTGGATTTAATTTGTTCTTCTTGATTCCACTCTTATTGTTCTTCTTATTATTATAAGTAATTATATTTTTATTGTTCTTCTTATTTTGCTCATCTTATTCTGGGTTTCTAAGATGTAGGTACAGACTATTTTGAGTCCTTCCTTGATTTCTAGTACAAACATTAAATACAATAAAATTCCCTCTAAGTATTGACTTAGCTGCATCACACAAATATTGATGTTACATTTTCATTTTCTTCAGTTCATAATATTTTCTAATATCCCTTGTAATTTTTCTCTCTAAAGGCATGAGCTTTTTTTTCTTTTCTTTTTTAAAAATTTTATTTTATTATAAAGATGCAGGGTACAAGTCAGGATTAGGTACATAAATAGTCTACATGCAGATTAAGTTTGGGTCTCTAACTGGTCCTCACTTCCCCTGGTTTAGGATCAGGTACCCTTAGTGATGTTATGTGTCCACCTTCCCACCCTAGCAGTGTCCTGCTACTGCTGATCCCTCTCTTAGAGTATAGCGATAAATGTTTGGACCCACTTACTAGTGAGAATAAGCGGTATTCAGCTCTTTGTTTCTGTGATAGGTCACTGAGTACGATGGATGCTAAATCCGTCCAATTTTCTGCAAAGTCCATAATTATGTCATTTTTATGACTGTGTAATATTCCATCATGTATATGTACCACATTTTCTTTATCCACTCCACTTTTGATGGGCAGCAAGGTTGGTTCTATATTTTTGCTGTTGTGAGTAGTGCTGCAATAAACATGCATGTTCAAGTATTTTTTTTTTTTTTTTTTTGAGTTGGAGTCTCACTCTGTCACCCAGACTGGAGTGCAGTGGCCGCTCCTGGTCACCGCAGCCTCGACCTGCTGGGCTCTGGTAATCCTTCCGCCTCAGCTTTCCAAGTAGCTGGAACTACAGGTGCGCACTACCACGCCCGGCTAATTTTTGATTTATTGCAGAGATGAGGTCTCGCCAAGTTGCCGAGGCGGGTCACAAACCCGTGGGCTCAGGCAATCCACTCACCTCAGCCTCCCAAAGGCGCAGGATTACAGGCTGAGCCACTGAGCCTGGCAAGTATTTTTTTTTTGTAGAATGATTTGAGTATATTTGTAGAATGATATACTCGATGATATATCAGGGGACTGCTGAGTCATATGAAAGGTAATTTCTAGTTCTTTTAAAAATCACCGCACTGCTTTCCACAGAGGTTGAATTAGTTTGCACTCCCATCAGCAGTGTAGAAGCATTACCTTTTCTCCACACCTTCACCAACATCTGTTGTTTTTAATTTATTAATGATGGTCAGTCTTGCTGGAGCTAGATGGCATCTCAATATGGTTTTGATTTGCATTTCTCTGATGATTAGTGAGGCTGAGCATTTTTTCATGTATCTGTTGGCTGTTCATATGTCTTCTTTCAAGAAGTGTCTATTCATGTATTTTGCCCACATTTTAATAGGACGATTTGGTTTTTTCTTTCCACTTGTTTGAAGGCATGAACTTTTTAGAAGTATCTTATTTAATTTCCAAATATTTGGAGATTTTCTAAATAAAATCGCCTACTTACCTACTTCTGTTGCTGATTTTTAGTTTAATTTTACTATGATCAGAGAACATAATTTGTAGGGTTTCAGTTCTTTCACAGAGATTTGTTTTATGGTCCGGGGGGGGGTTTCTCTTGGTGAATATTCCATGGGTACTTGAAAAAATGTGTATTCTCATTGAATTTTAAAGTCAATATCAATAGGTCATGTTGATTGATATTATTTTTATTTTTATTTTTTTATTTTTTATTTTTTGAGTTGGAGTCTCACTCTGTCGCCCAGACTGGAGTGCAGTGGCAGCTCCTAGCCACTGTAGCCTCGATCTGCTGGGCTCTGGCGATCCTTCTGCCTCAGCCTTCCAAGGTAGCCGGAATTACAGGCATGAGCTACCATGCCCAGCTGATTTTTTGATTTATTGTAGAGATGAGGTCTCGCTGCCCAGGCGGGTCCCGAACCCGTGGACTCAGGCAATCCACTCACCTCAGCCTCCCAAAGGCATGGGATTACAGGCTGAGCCACCGAGCCTGGCCGATATTATTTTTAGGTTTTCTATATCCTTACTGATTTTTTTCTGTTTACTTGCTCTGTCAAATACTAAGAGAGCAGTGTTTATTTTATAATTTTATTCACATATTTTTGAAAAGGAGGATGCATCTAGTTTTAGAATTATTTAAAACTAGTAAACATATTTTAATTATTTTTGTAGTTACCATTAAAACACTCAAATTTCATTATATTACTGATAGCTGATAGCATTTTTATATAGTCAATTGATAATATTATAATACCAGATTAACTAATTCACCATTGATTCCAAGTCTATTGGCTTCCAGTGAACAAACATGTGTGAAGTATTGTTAAATGCATTATAAGATATATTGGTCTCAGTGGTCCCAGTCAAATATGAACTATTCGTATTGATCACAGGTTTTGGAGTCAGACATATAAGGATTTAAATACCAGCTCTCATACTTATTCTATTTATCTAATTTAATTTTTTTTTTTAGTTGGAGTCTCACTCTGTCACTCAGGCTGGAATGCAGTGGCATGCTCACAACTACTGCAACTTCAACAACCTGCTAGGCTTAGGTGATCCTTCCACCTCAGCCTTCCAAGTAGCTGGAACTACAGGCATGCATCACCATGCCCAGCTAATTTTTTGATTTATTTTAGAGATGAGGTCTAGTCAAGTTGCCCCAGTGGTCTCGAACCCCTGGGCTCAGGCAATCCTCTCGCCTCAGCCTTCGAAAGTGCTAGGATTATAGGCATGAACCACCATGCCTGGCTTGATATTTATTATAGTTATGGGATAGCTCACTTAACCTTGCCATGACTCAGTTTCCTTATCTATAAAATGGGGATAATAATATTCACTACTGTACTTGGAATCATTGGGAGGATTAGATGAGATTGGGTATGTTCAGGGTGGATAACTGTAGACTGTTATGAAGATTAGAGATAACGCATGTGAAGTGCCTGGCAGAGTACCTTTCACTTAGCAAGCAATAAATGGTAATAATATAATAGTAGTAGTAGCAATAGCAATAATAGCATTAGTACTTATCAAATTATTAAATAATAGTATTATTTAAAAATATTATTACAATGGTAGCAGCAATAAACTCTACTCACTTAAATAAAAAATTACACATACATATTACTTCTTAATGTATTACTATTAAATAATAATAATATCTGCTAGAATTACTTACCATTTTCTTTCAGCTTTACCAAATTATCTTTCAATTTTTCAATTTCTAGTTGGGCCTTCTCAAGTGCAGAACCTGAAAAGATGAAAGAAAGAAAATATTTGAATGTGAGGCAAATAATTAGTATAATAATCAAATTTCAAATGATCCTGTCTCTGTTTAGAATACTTCTTTCATCTGGGTAACTATCCTTTGCATTTCTGCATAAAATGTCAACTCCTCAGGAGGCTTTCCCAGACTTCCTCTTTAGTGTTCCTACTGTATCCTATATTTATCCCCACACTAGTCATTGGATCTTGTATTTGTCTTTCCCTATTTCTCCCACAAGATTCCATGATGAAGAGTTTGGACCACTGTAAACAAAAGGAACAACTGGAGGTGTTTAAGCATCATACTTCTAGTTTTGTAAAAAGAAATTACACCCAGAAATAATTAAAAGTAATTCTTGCAATCAATAATATTTAGGATTTTGCCAATTGCTGCTAGAAATATAAAAATAACAAAATGTCAGTACATGGCTTTTGGTACTATTGAATAATTGTGTAAGGATGGTAGAATGATATTTAGGAACACATGGTCATTGGAATCGATTGGACTTGGGTTCTCTAATTCAGGTTTTATCCCTTTGCTTCCTGTGGTCTCCTCATTATCAGTGATATTACTGGTGGGTCTCCTAGATTATCAGAATAAAGAACTAGAGGAAACTAACACGAATTTTACAAGAGATCATTTATAATCACAGAATGAGAGCACTAACATAACAGTACATGCTTTATTATTATATCCACAACATTCAGGTCTTTGGAGCAGTGATCCCCAGCCTTTTTGGCATCAGGGACTTGTTTTGTGAAAGAGAATTTTTCCATGGATGGAGTGAGGGGTGGGAGGATGGGGGTTGGGAGAGTGCAGTCAAATTTCACTGTTAATGTTAATCTGAACCACTCAGGAGTACACAGTGAAATCCCTCACATGCACAGTTCACAATAGGATGTGTGCTCCCATGATAATCTGATGCCACTGCTGATCTGACAGGAGATGGAGCTCCTCTCACCCGCATCTCACCTCCTGCTGTACGGCCCCGTTCCTAACAGGTACAGACTGGTAGTGGTCCGTGGCCCAGGGGTTGGGAACCCCTGCTTTGGAGTAAAACCCAGGATAACCTAACCAGATTCTCCTAACACTACATTCTTAACTATACCAATATTATTACTACTCCTGCTACCACCAGCAGCAGCAGCTACTAGTAACAGGTATATTAACCATTATAACAAATCCACAAAGCAGATACTAACATTCCCAGCAAGGCTCAGAAAAGTTAAGCAACTTGCTCGATGTCACATAATTAGCATATGGTATGGCTGGGATGTAAATGTAGGTCTGTTTGTACTGTGCCAGAGATGTGACGATAGTTTTTGTTTTGCTAAAAGAATGGTTTTTCTATGTACGCCTCTATGGAAGGAGAGAGAGTAGAGTGATAGCGAGTGGAAAGGATGTTCCAGAAAGAGGGAAGGTATGAGTACAAGAGAAGAGGCAGGAAAGAACAGAGAGGAGGTATGAGAGAATGGTGAGTATTCTTGCAACTACATTAGTCTAATACTGCTTGGGTGTATACCATCTGGGGAAGGGTTGGATATGAGCTAGACAATAGGCAGGAGTCAAACCAGAAAGGCTTCATTTGCTACACAAGAGAGTTTAGAATTTATTATGTAAGCCAGGGGCTTCCAAACTGTATTCTATTAACCTCAAAGTTCAGAGGTGATACTTCTGAAAATGTATAAAAAACTATTTTAAGAATAACATAGGTTGGGCTTGGTGGCTCAGCCTGTAATCCCAGCACTTTGGGATGCCAAGGCAAGTGGATTGCCTGAGTCCCCAGGTTCGAAACCAGCCCGAGCAACATGGCAAGACCTCGTCTCTACAATAAATCAAAAATTAGCTGGGCATGGGAGCACGTGCCTATAGTTTTGGCTATTTGGAAGGCTGAGGCAGAAGGATTGTCAGAGCCCAGCAGGTCAATGCTGAATTGGCCATGAGCATGCCATTGCACTCCAGCCTGGACGACAGAATAACACACATAGTCAAGCATATTGTACACCAGTAGTCCCCCATGTCTTTGGCATCAGGAACCTGTTTCATGGAAGGCAATTATTCCACAGACTGGGGGTTGAGAGGAGATGGTTTTGGGATGATTCAAGCACATTACATTTATTGAGCATTTTATTTCTATTATTATTATATATAAAATTATATATTTAATTATTAATATGCATATGTATACTATAATGTACAATGAAATAATTATACAACTCACCATAATGCAGAATCAGTAAGCTTGTTTTCCTGTAACTAGATGGTCCCATCTGAGGGTAATGGGAGACAGTGACATCTGAAGTGGGTTGCTTATGTCCACCCTGCTCCATAATCTCATTTTGGTTGCTGTCACTGCAGAAAACCCTGCTTCACAAAGATAGGATGTTGGAAATGGAAGCAGGCTTTTCAGCACCTTTGGGCAATCTCAGGATATTCTGCCTTGACTTTAATCTAGAAAATATGGAGATTTGAAGTTGTCTCAAACATACTTTTAGGGCCACTGTCATTTCCCATCTCAAGCAGTTGATCCTCTTCTAGCATGGAAAAAGTTGATTCATCTGGCTTATTCACAAATGGGACGCAGAACCATTCCTTCCTAGTCCGGGTGTCCCTTATGGTTAGGAAGCAATGCCCAGACTCTTTTGAAAGCTGACATAGGTGATCATACACCAGCTGGGAGAAAGAAGGCCCTGGCTCAGTCTCTTTCAAAATCTCTAATAATGTTTGTAACATATAAAAAATCCCAATGTTCAATTCATCACCCCTATAATTCCAGGTTGGCTTTGAATATAGCCACTTTATCTTCCAATTGTTGTTCCCCCTTAAGTGACAGATTGAGTTCGGTGAGCAGGTTGAATATGTTACATAAGTAAACAAATTTTGTGACCCATTCTGTATCACTGAAATGTGCTGCCAGTGGTGACTGTTTTTCTAAGAGAAATCTCTGGAGTGGCTCTCATAACTCAAAAACTCTGCCAGCGATCTACCTTTAGAAAGCCATCTCACTTCTTTGTATAAGAGAAGACGTGTGCGTGCTGCATCCATCTCCTCACAGAGCTGCACAAACAGACGTGAGTCAAGGGCATGTACTTTAACGTGGCTGATAATTCTAATCACATCCTGCAGAACACTGTTAAGTTCAGGTGACATTTTTTGGCTAGCCAGAATTTCTCTATGGATGATACAGTGCGTAGACTCACATTCAGAAGTGACCTCTTTTATGGCTTCAGTGGATAGCCAATCACCACATATTATACAAAGTGAACTTGGAGAATGTGAATCACCTGTTGCAACAAACCTGTAATTTAAGGGAACTCTTAGTATTTAAAAAAAAAAAATACATCTTGGTTCGCGACCCGCTTAGGCAGCGAGACCTCATCTCTACAATAAATCAAAAAATCAGCCAGGCGTGGTAGCACGTGCCTGCAATTCCGGCTACTCGGAAGGCTGAGGTGGAAGGATCGCTGGAGCCCAGCAGGCGAGGCTGCGGTGGCCGGGAGCGGCCACTGCACTCCAGTTTGGGCGACAGAGTGAGGCTCCAACTCAAAAAAAAAAAAATACATCTTTCTTTTTGTTGGCAGTCTTAGAATCTTCTGCTGTGTCATCATTCTGTGTCTTTCCCCCTTTTCAAATAAGCTTGTCAGTGATGCTAGCTTTTTACTCGTTTTGGTAGAGTTAGTTTATGTGTTTATCAAAACAGTGACTGAGACGAGTGAGCAGTGCAGGAAAGAAGCATGGATGAAAGCGGTAAATAAAATTATGGACAGGCCACGTGTGGACTAAAATAAAGTGTCAGATTCTGACTTAAACCCTGCTACCAGCTGCAGCTGTACAACTGAAGTACAACTCACTTGCCCTCACTGATAGGGTTTTGATTTGAATCTGCAAGCAATTGATTTATTATCGTATCTGTAGTCAAATCTCACTGTTAATATATATTTACAGCCACTCCCCAGTGCTAGCAGCTCCACCTCTGATCATCAGAAATTAGATTCTCATAAGGAATGTGCAACCTAGATCCCTTGCATGCACAGTTTATAATAGGGTTTGTGCTCCTAGGAGAATCTAATGCCACTGCTGATCTGACAGGAGTAGGAGCTCGGGTGGCAATATGAATGATGGAGAGCGGCTGTAAATACAGATGAAACTTTGCTCACTAGTCCACTGCTCACCTTCTGCTGTACAGCCCGGTTCCTAACAGACCACAGACCAGTACCAGTCTGTGGCCTGGGGGGTGGGGACCCCTGTTGCATACCACATTTAAATAAAATCATAGTCCACCAAATTTATTAACTTGTTCTGCCAAGTTAGCATCTGCCATGTTCATGAAGCTATTTGAAAGATGTAGCTTTCCAGTAGTCCTTTTAAACTAGTAATCTTTCAAAAACTGTATTGGTTTTAATTTTTAAGACTACCCTACTGGATTGACAATTTTAACTTCTATTTCTTTAGCAATTACCCTATATATTTTTTGAAAAAATTTTTACTTATGGAAAATTTCAAAGATATACAAAAGTAGATAGAACAGAATTGTGTTAACACCTATATCCATTACCTATATCCATAATTTTAACAATTATCAACTCATGGCCAATCTTGTTGCATTTATGCCCTTACATATCCTCTCAATTGTCTAATATTGTATTACAAATTACCACAGACTTCGTGGCTAAAAACAGTATCTATCTATTAGCTCACAGTTCTGTAGGTCAGAAGTCTGGCCATGGTATGGCTGGGTTCTCTGATCAGTCTTACAAAGTTGAAATCAGGGTGTTGGCCAGGCTGTGCCCCTTTCTGAAGGCTCTGGGGAGGAATCTACTTCCACACTGATTCACGTTGTTGGCTCAACCCAGTCCTTGAGGCTGTAGAACTGAGATCCCCATTTTCTTGATGACTGCCAGCTGGGGGTCTCTCTTTGCTCTTGGAGGCCATCCACATCCTTTGCCACATGGTCTCCTCCATCTTCAAGTCAGTAATGAAGAATC